TAGACCAAGCCGCTCGGGTCTCATCATTATCAACAAACTTCGATTGTTCGGTGGAATTCTCACACCGGCTGGGTCGGTTGTCGTTTGTTGTTATGGTGTCATGTAATATCGGGAGTCAAAGCAGAGATAAGAGAACTAGAAGATTGAAAATTGATTCCTCAAGGAAGTCAATAATAGGCTATTTGTCTGATGATGAAGCCTGGCTGAGTATCTTGGTTTAAGAAACAGGCAAAACGACTGTCCCCGAGTCCAAAGTTTTGAATTTTCATCCTCAAGAATAAGAAGCCTGAAACTACGGTGTGTTCTTTAATGGGGGTTCAATTTCTTGTCTTTATGGCTTCTTACTTGCTTTCTGGGTTCTTACTTGTTTCAGACTATGAAAATTGTAGATAACTGTAACGGGTTGGATTGAAGAATTTGGTTGCTTGAATGGGGAACTCGAGCACAGAACTGCAAGAAATTGAGGCTGCTGAAACTATAGACCAAGTGAAGACTCGAGACGAGGCGGAGGATTTGAAAAGAGTTGCACCTTGGACTACGCAGATTACATTCCGGGGTGTTATTGCAAGCATAGCTATAGGAATTATGTACAGTGTAATAGTGATGAAGCTTAATCTTACAACAGGTTTGGTCCCAAATTTGAACGTCTCGGCCGCTCTTATTGCCTTTGTGTTTATAAAGACATGGACTACGCTGCTTGGGAAAGCTGGAATTGTATCCACTCCCTTTACGCGTCAGGAAAATACTGTAATTCAAACATGTGCTGTGGCTTGTTACAGCATTGCTGTTGGAGGTCCGAGTCCTGTGTGCCACCCAAATGTTTGCCATGCAAATTTTTTGTTGCTGTGTTTGATATTTCAGTTGTTGTTGTCGTCGTCGTCCAGGTGGCTTTGGATCCTACTTGTTTGCTTTGAGCAGGAAGACATATGAACAAGCGGGCATGGACACGGAAGGAAATGCCTCTGGAAGCACCAAGGAACCTGGGATTGGTTGGATCATTGGCTTCCTCTCTGTCAGTAGTTTTGTTGGGCTTCTTGCGTTGGTTCCCCTCAGAAAGGTATATTTCTTTCTGATACAAGTTATGTGCTTCAGAAGTTTGGATGGTTTATTAATGGCGCGTCTACAATTGTATTGTAGATCATGGTAATAGACTATAAATTGACCTATCCAAGTGGAACTGCAACTGCCGTTCTCATCAATGGTTTCCACACACCAAAAGGAGACAAGACGGCCAAGTATGCAATCCCTCGCATCTTTTCCTAATCAAAATATAATCTCTAAAACAAACTTTTTCTTTTTCTTTTTCTTCTTCTTTGGCCAGGAAGCAGGTTGGTGGGTTCATGAAATATTTTTCATTCAGTTTTCTCTGGGCACTATTCCAATGGTTTTATTCTGGGGGAGGGAATTGTGGATTCTCGCAGTTTCCTACGTTTGGATTGAAAGCTTGGAAAGATTCGTGGGTGCTCAACATCTTGTCTGTCTGTTTTCATCTTCTCTTCCATACTTGAAATTAATTGGCAAAACTGTTTTGCAGGTTTTACTTTGATTTCAGCTTGACATATATTGGAGCAGGGATGATATGCTCCCATCTTGTAAACTTGTCGTTGCTTCTGGGTGCAGTTCTTTCTTGGGGCATAATGTGGCCCTTAATGAAGGGACTTAAAGGGGAGTGGTATCCTGGATCTCTTCCAGACAGTAGTATGAAAAGCCTCAATGGTTACAAGGTAAAATAAAATAGGAAATGGAGCGTTTATTTGACACCGTCACGGGACTTCATTTCCCTTGTTTGGTGCAGGTATTTGTATCAATTGCTTTGATACTTGGAGATGGGCTTTATCATTTCCTTAAGATTCTGTATTTCACCAGCTCCAGCATTTATGCAAAGGCAACCAACAAGAAGCTCAAAACATGTAAACTAATGCTTCCTTTAATTTGTGTCTGCTCAATCTTAGCATGAAGCTAAGTTACTTCTCGCCACCTAATTATGACAGCGTGTGCGGGGGGATAGTAGTAGATGTGGGCATTCCCAAGTTTTCTTTCATTAATTATGACATAGTGTTTAAATGGCTGCAGTCCCGGATGATTCAGTCCAATCTCTTGATGATCATCGACGAAATGAAGTGTTCTTAAGAGATGGTATTCCGTTGTGGGTGGCGATCACAGGGTACATCCTCTTCTCCATTGTCTCTGTCATCGTAATCCCAATCATGTTCCCGGAGGTCAAGTGGTATTACATAGTTGTTTCCTATACTTTGGCACCGTCTCTTAGCTTTTGCAATGCATACGGTGCGGGTCTAACTGATATGAATATGGCCTATAACTATGGGAAAGTGGCTCTGTTCGTGCTTGCTGCCATGGCGGGTAAAAATGAGGGTGTAGTTGCAGGACTTGTCGGTTGTGGTTTGATCAAGTCTATTGTTTCGATCTCCTCTGATTTGATGCACGATTTCAAGACTGGTCATCTTACACTTACATCTCCAAGATCCATGCTTTTGAGCCAAGCTATTGGCACAGGCATAGGCTGCATTGTATCTCCTCTCACATTCCTTATGTTCGACAAGGCTTTCGATCTCGCCAACCCAGATGGTGAATACAAGGTCCCATATGCCATAATATACCGAAACATGGCTATCCTAGGAGTTGAAGGCTTCTCAGCTCTGCCCCAGCATTGCTTGCAGCTGTGTTATGGGTTCTTTGGCCTTGCCATAGTAGCCAACTTGTTGAGAGATCTTACCCCTGAAAAATTTGGGAAATGGATCCCACTGCCTATGGCCATGGCCGTGCCTTTCCTCGTCGGTGCTTATTTCGCAATCGATATGTGCGTTGGGAGCTTGATCGTGTTTGTGTGGCACTATCTAAATCATGAAAAGGCTGGATTGATGGTTCCGGCTGTTGCCTCTGGGTTGATATGTGGAGAAGGCTTATGGATTCTCCCTTCATCAGTTCTTGCCTTGGCTAAGGTCCACCCCCCAATCTGCATGAGCTTTTTCTCTTCCAGTAAAAGTTGAATCTAGAAAGAATTTTATGCACATCAAGATGTTGAGAAGCTGAAAACTTCTGATAACCTAACTTTTAGAATGCAGCAATTTTCAAGTAGAATAAAATATTGCAGCTATCATGTTACTGTATTTCGTTCAAGCTTAATAAAATATCTTTGACAAATTGAATCAATCTGCATCATCAAAACATAATTCTTTACCATAATATTGGCATTCATTGCCGCAAAATGCATTCTCTAACAGTACCCACCATGTATCATTGGCCTGATGTCATTCTGTTCAACTGTGCTCGAATCATCACCGAATATCAAAGGCATATATGCTGTTTATTTGGTGATTATAATGTGAATCATTCTAGACTAAAATTGATTTGTTTTGATGCCAAAGGGAAAAGAGCATGAATGCAGACCATTGTTCATTTCGGAAATTATAACATGGCAACTGCCGGTTACAATGGCAAGACTTTGCAAGTTACCTACACAAACGAACTTTTCAGGGATAATTAAACAGATGGAAAGAAGCCAAAAGGTAAGAAAACCGTTCAAGTGAGTATTAGAACGCTTCACAGCCAAGGGGACGCTTAGAAAAATGATACTGCATTGGCAACTATTGTCGCTTTAGAATTTGGCAGATCACCAACTCCAATGAACAATTAGAAGCGTAAAAAACACTGGAAAACTACACATTGGTCTGCATGACCACAATGATTTAACCAAGAATCTCTTACATGAATTTGGATCCTTTCTGTGAGACGTGAACTGAGATCAATTAACTGATATTCAGTTCTAATAATTAAGAACATTGATGTTTTGTTGGGGTTGTATCATCGAAGAAGCATATTGACATTGTGCCAACCAATTACAATGATGCATACAGATGCTAGCGTTCAAAATTTCAGAAACAAAAACCAAAAGCAATGTTGCAGATGACTTGGGTTTGTCGTGTTTTCTTGCTTTTTCAGAAGATATTTCCAGTTGAATGGCTTTAAATTCAAAGGCCCACGCCTTTCAAGAAGCGGCGAGATGAAACAAGACATGTCTTGTTCGCCGACTATTTTAAGATAATGGTTGCCTTTTTGTTTTGTTTTGTGTTCTTTTTATTTTTTGGAGAAAGTAATCCTCGGTTAGACAAGTTTGGCACCAATCAAACTCTTCAAGGATAAGGCCCAATACCACTAGGCTTAAAGTGATAAGGAGGATCCGGATGGATTTCACCACTCAATTTAAATATAACCGACGGTTGTTAATCAGCCTTAATGCCAAATACAATCAAATCAGCAAATCTCAACCCCTACTGTGTAGAAAACTTCGAGTGCTTACCTCGAATACTGAAGGCAGAGAAGTAGACTAGAGCCAACAAGAATTCAGCCCTACGAACTGAGCTGAAAGAAGCAAGCTTTTGTTAGTGCATGAATAGTAACCCAATCACAAAAGTAGAATGGATAATTCAGGAGCACATTTTCTACTCCCCGCGTTATACTCATCTCGCCAACATATATGATGATCGGATCAGGAGTTCCTATTACGCTAAAAAAATCCCACGCACGTTCGGAGGTTCTCCTCCTTCTGGATGTCTCCTTCATTGATGACCCAAATCCAAGACTTTTTTTTTTGTTTTTTTTTGTTGCAAGATATTTGGAAGCAACTAGGAAAATATTCTCTAACCCCACACCTATAAATACAAATAAACAATTAAAGACCAAGTATCACGTTTATATCAGTTTTGAGCTAGTTGTCTGTGAACAGGATGGGTCAATCTCATCTACCTGTAGAGTTACGAAATGATCAGTGGTGGTCTACGATACTGCGTCAACAAATATCAAGAAAATTTCTTAGAATTGATAATTAGAGCTGAGAAGTCTAGAGTTTCCTCTCCTCTCTTCTGATTTAATAACTTTTTCTTCAGATAAAAAGTAAGATAATTTGAAAAAAGTTTATCACGTAGTACTCCAAAAAAAAAAAAAATTAAGGGGAAAAAAAAAAGAAACAGATGACTCAAAGGTATCGACAAAATCACCTGAATACTGATTTTGGGTCAACTGGAACAAGATTAGAGGTACACGAACCAAGTCAACAGAAAAATTAACTCATGGATCGAGAACAAAAGTTATTATTACTCCAGCTAAAGATACACCAAGAACCAGATACTTCCTACTTTTCAAGATTCATTGACTCGAGCATCTCGATACACTACTCCCGTTTACTGCTTGTTACGACAGCCACTGTGAAATAGATGAAGGCGAGGATGCAATTTTATGCCAATTATAGTGATACATCACTAAAATCTGTCGCTACAACTTGAGTGAGCTTGAGTGAGCAAAAGAAACATCCTTCTGCACCCTCGAATAAGCAAAGAGAGAAGCACTTTCTCCGAGCAGAAGAAGCCCAGGTAATGATCCAGGCAGCAGAAGAATGGCACGTTAATTAGCAACCCAACAATTAGGCATTTACTCGTTAAACGAGGTTTCGATCTTCTCATGGAGGGTCACCACCAAATCATGAGCATCGTCCAATAGTTTCCAAACATCAAGTTGCCCGGCCATGCTGTTACACTCCCTTATAATTTCGTCCATGCTGTAGTATTTCTCTATAATCAATTTCCTCTTCTGCAATACCGAGGCAGCAATTGCGTAGAGCAACAGATCCTCCGTGGGTGGGGCTCGTTGCCTAATCCTGCTCCAAGCAGATTTACCTACACCAGCTCTAATAGCTGCCTGATCAGCCCACATCACCTCCCAAAGGCACAGCGTCTGTTCAAATGTTAATTCCCTTCTAAAAAGTACCACAACCATCCTATAAACGAAAAAGCAATCCTCCGCTTCAAGGTCTTGTAGGTGTCTGTAAAGGTGGGAGTCCTTGAATCTGATGATTTTAGAGACGACGTTCAGTTGCTTTCGAATCCCAACCTCATCAAGCCTAAAGTTATGCCGAGCTTTCCGCATGAAGCCCACAAAGCACCAGAAAGCCTCGTGATCTTCAGTTATCACAGTGATTATTGGAGAAAGCAGATCACTCATTCCCTGGCAATACCCAATTTCAGGATCATAAAGAGCATAAGCTTCAAGAATCGTCACTAATCTAGCAGCATGAAAGATCCTGCAGGACTCTAGGTGATCATAATCTTTCAAACCAACAACCTCGGCGGAATATCTAGCCTTATCATCTGATACTGCTGCTAGGGATGGTGCGTAGGCTATCCATTCTGCATTTGCACGTACCGCATCAAGGCGGATGATCCGCTGCCATGTTGTAAAATCTTCATTACCACGAAATTTTGATGTAACCTCTGTTACCAAGGGAGACGAATTTTTCGAAGTGAAAACAGGATCATTATCTTCTCTACCATCAGAGGAAGGAAATGTTTGACTAACTTCAGGATCCTCAGAAGAATCTGAGTCAGATGATTCAGTATTTAGAACCGAAACATCAGCATTTGTCATCTGTCTAGAACTATTATCCTCTTCCAACAAAACCTCCGAGCTTCCATCCAAGTATCTAAAGTTAGTGCCCCTTTCATCACTAGAAATAGATTCTCTGGCACTACCCACATCTTCCAAACTAGGAGAGTCATCACCATGAGACACAAGCTGAGCGTCCCCCTCCTTGTTAAAGTTCATCTCATCATCATTCAACTTTATACACCCATCCCCAAACTTCAGTAAGGATCGGCATTGTTTGCGAAGTCTTTCATATTCTTTCCTGCATTAGATATATTGACCACCATTAGAGTTTAAAATGCCAACGCAGATCACAGGTACAGGTGGGAAAAATACCCCATAAACTTATCCAAGAAAAATAGAACGAAATAATATTAGCAAGAGAAAAAACATACCTCTTCTGTACTCTAACGGCATCTCTTTCTTCTTCAGAACTGCTCAAGTCATAGCTGTTGAAAACACAAGTAGTTATGTCAATACACACTTCGCACACCACATGATGCTGAACAAAATCAAGCAAAGCAGCACAGCAAGTATGACCATATAGCATGACGTGAATCTTTAAAATGAGGGCGTCACAAAGATTAGTCCTATTGAAAAATGAACAGTATAGATATATATTAACAAAAAAGAAAAAGAAAAACGGTGAATATATTATAACAGAAGGGGAAACAATCTAAGGGCTAGGGATAGATACAACCCCTGCCCGAAAGAGTACAAAAGCAATGCCTTCAAATTGTTAAGAAAAAAAGAAGAAAAAGAAGATAAAGAAAGAGGAAAAGAAAAAGAGAGAACAAAATATAAGATGAATGCACATAAAAAAAAAAAAAAGGTTGTACTGGAAAGAAGCATCAGAATGCAGCGCCCCTTTTTCGTTATATACAGGAATAGCTCTATACCCAATTACCCATCTGCGTTTGTATGACACATACCTATGTAATAGAGTCTCCCAATTTTGACAGATCATTGATTCCAAAAGAACCATGATCTGATCAAGCGTCCAATAAGTAAAACTTCAAACCTTTTATTATACTTTAGAATTGCAGACATACGAGGACATACTTTTAAACTCGTTGGGACATACTGACACTCATAGACATTTATCGTGGTTAGAGCAAAAATATACCCTTGCTATTATATAATACAGATGGCATGTGCGGTAAGCTAAGGAAGAGAGGGAAGCTGAATAGGGTGGATCTCAAAGAGACATCTGGCTAGCACGGGTATGCAATAAGAAGAGGATGAGATTTAAAAAAAAAAAAATATGAGCATGATGATGATGATGATGTAATAGCAATAATAATGAACTAGATAGTAAGAAACCTGTACCAAACAACTGTTTCTTGTCCAGACACAATGGTTGAAAAGATAAAAGAGCAAATGAGAGAACACCAGCCAAATCAATACCCAAGAACCAATGGTCAGAATTTATGTTTTCAGCTCAAAAAAATATTCGAGAAGGAAAATTTTGGAAAAATCAACATACCATGCTAGATAGGTTCTAACTCATACCGATTACATGGCCACACAATCTGAAGTTCTGAACTAAAATAGCTCATATTTGTGTTAAGATGATGCACTTTGTAAGGAGCCAGAGGAACCCAGCATTCTAACCAGATCTCCCATGGACTAAAGAGAACTACAATATTGTGTGCAATACAAGAGAAGCATATGCAAGATTACAAAAATGAGGGGGGCACTCACAATCCAAGAAGGAACGGCCAGACCTCTGCTCTAATACTTGGATCTACACCCTATTAGAAAACATCAGATCAAAACCCAACCAGTAAATATCTCAAAGTTATGAAAGAACTTATAGCTCTTGAAATAAAATGTGTGAGACAATGTGATTTTTACTCACTCCACTGCGAACTTTTTTTAAAAACTTGATGCCACCATCTCGAAGCCTCCCATCTGGCGTGAACAAACTTCTCCATTGTTGCGGTGAAAGTGCGTGCTTTCTTTTCTTGCGTGACCATGGCGATTTAAGGCGTCCCCTAAGACATGGTTAATATAGAAAAGTCAATTCATTTTAATCATATCCAATGAAATAGCGTGTCCTCAGCATGATACACAATTACCTACCTAGTATCTATGTACCTCCTTCTAAGAACAAGGATAATGACACTCGTAACTCACCAGTTATAGTTGAAAAATAAAAGATGACTGAAATGATCAAGTATTCTTAAAGACCGAAGCAAACTAGAGATTTGGATAGTAACTCCAGAATGTGAGAAAGGAACCTGACCGTACAGGAAACAACATACTCCAGAAAGGAGACATGGAACTCAGAAAGCCTAAACATCTAGATAGAACAAAAAAATAAAGCCTATAAACAGGGTTAAAACCCGAAACGCCCAAGATCTCTGTCGAAAACTAGGTTAAAGCTTAATTTTGAGCTGAATAAGAGAAATGGGAAGCAAAAGAGGAAGGAAAGAGAGACTCACCGATCAGATGAGGAAGAAGAAGCCGGTGAAGAGGAAGTGACAACGAATAGAACCGAACGCAAATGAACCCATGACGATGACGCTGAGGACAAAGCTGAGGACGGGGAAGACGAAGAAGGAGGAGAATTCGAATTGGGATCCGGAGACGACGAAGTTGGAGTTCGTTTAAGCGCTCTCATGGATGGAAAATTGAGGAGAGGGCAGAATGGAATAGGGTAGATTTTCCGTTTTACTAAGCAAATAAAATGGAATTGGGGCTTATAGATGAATTCGAAATTGTGGGAATAAGAGAACGTGATTGGGGTTTTACCTACGGGCAGAGTAGAAGAGAACGAGGAGGACAGCGAGGCCCGCCAAGGCTGTGACCGCGACGGCTGCATTCGGTTGTGCCCCCGCCATCATCCGGGAGAAGAAGCCGCCGGCGACGCCGAAGGAGGGGGCGATGTCGGTGCCGGAGGCGATCATAGAGGGGAAGAAGATAGTGATCGGGTGCTTGGGTTGGCAATGCCTTATCTTTAGAACTAGGTTGGAGGTAGGAAGGTGAATGTAATGGAAGAAGAAACCATGGTAGGGGAAAGGAAGAAGAGAGTATGGGGTAGGCTTCGATTTTTACCACTTGGGAGAAGAGGCAGCAGTTCCTTTGTTTATGCCTCTTTGGCTGTCTCTGTGTAGATGCAGAAATGTGGAGAGAGAATGAGATGAAGAAACACTCACAACTGGATTACTCCATCAACAAGTCTCGTCCCTCCCAGATGCTCTAAACCTTTTACTCATCCTTCGCGGACGGGATGATTACTTCAAACGACGCCGCATCATGCCCCTCCAACCACCCAACTTTGCTATTTACCGAATCTTGACGAATCTACATATGCCACTTTTATCCGAGGCTTTAATTTAATTTTTGTTTTCAAGACACCAATTCTTTTATTTATTTATTTTTTTTTTTGAATGTTTGGAAGAGAACTGAGAAAAGGAGAGGAAAAGAGGAAAACGGACGCGCCGGACGGAAGTGACGGGCGGCGGTGAGAGATGGGATGAAGGAGGAGGTAGAAGAGAGAGAGAGAGAGAGAGAGAGAGAGAAAACCTTTTTTGAAAAAAAAATTAAACAATAATGAAGTAAATTTTCTTATATTGAATTTTGAATAGAAAGAATGGGGTAAGTTGTTTTAATAAAAAAAAATTGTCTCAACTGTAATTTTAAACAGAAAGAGAGAAATAATTTAGAAAAAGTACTGGCCATTCATGTTATGGATTGAAGAGCAAAAATGGTATAAAGGCGTTAAAAGCATGCTCTATTTACCGCTCGATGAGGAGGGGGAGCAAGTAATAATGTGTTGTTAGAAGCTTTTTGAAGCATGCCAAAATTTCCATGATTGAATTATGAGGCATACAAAAAAATAAATAAAAATAGGTAACATAAAACAACACTATTAACAAACAAACCTGATTTGAGTTTCCAAAATATATTGGTTTTACTTCAAGGGTAGCAAAGAACCAAGAATATGAACCCATCTGCCAAATCCAGTTCCAATTCCAATTCCAATTCGGGTTGACTCGAGACTTCTCAACTTGGAAGCAAATCCAAGGGGGCAAATGGGCTTGAAAGTTAGGCAGATCCCACAAATATTTGGTGAAGGTATCAGAGGCAAGCGTATTGAAATTACTTTTTTCCTTTACTGGGAATGAACGTTCAAAAGCTGATTCAGACACATTTACCAAGCAAACTTCACTTACACGTCTCTTCTTTTTTCCACCAACATTTTTTTACGAGTAGGGTAAGAATTGGGTTGTAATACACTTTGACTTGGGTGAGGTGGTCACTCGAGACTTTGTAGTCCACAAAGTCGGGCGCGGCGCCTTTTTGTTGTTTATTTGATCATTGAAAGAACAAAGCAAAGAGGAAAGAAAGAAACTTGCTTGGAGTGCGAAGGAGAGACAGTGGAAGAAAATTTGTGCGCACAGGCAGAGGGGATGTCACACACAACACATAGTGCATTCCTCAGACCACAACAGTTACAGCGAGCAAAAGTGAAACATACTTATTCTTTCTCGTCTTCTTTTTCATGCAAACCAAACATAGTTTGAATTTGTTGCACGTAGGAGGGAAATGACAAGACCATACTCATGTTTGTGTTACCAGACATGACAACAGATAGAACAACGAGGTTGCCTTTTCCTAGAAACACACACACATACAAACAACGAGCACGTTCTACAGGGCCAAGAAGATGATGGCTGTCGCATAATATCTGCTCTTACTTTTCTTCCTCTTTCTCTGTCACCAAACACAATCCTTGAACGAGAGATTTGATCAATGGGGCACTCATTACTCCTTCAAGGAAGTCTGGCAATTTTGGAATTTTTATTGTATAAACTAACTCATTGCTATTTACACCAACTTCTGTGAATACAAATTCGCAGACATAAGATTTGGCTGGCTATACGACCCACACATTGCACAATTTACAAGGGGTTGAAGGCTCTTGTACACAAAGGGGAAGAAACTACATTATACACATTTCTCTCCAACAGTTTCAGCTGCATCCCCTGTCAAGAACCAGGTCAGTTCACCCTCAGGAGAAACCCACTGGATAGGCATTTTACCATCCAAGTCTCCACTATTTTTAACGGAGTTGCTCGTAGATATAGCTTGGTGACCACTAGTTGACACTATTGCCATATGTGCCGATGAGTTGATAACGGGCAAGGTGAGAGTAATGATATCGATGGGAAGCTTTGGTGATTCATGAATAAAGGTGACCCATTTCCCATTGTCCTCTTGCAGAAAAGGATGGTCTGTGAATGCAGACGCTATATGGCCATCAGGGTCCATTCCAATGAGCATGAGATCAAACTTAGGTAGCCCAGTAGCCGTAGACATGTCTATCACCCCACACTTGACCAAATGTCTGAGGCAGGTTTCATAATCATCTGTTGCACCTTCAGCAGACAGTGCCTCATTGATTGCATACACATTCCCAGGCAGAAGAGGTACCTAACGAATTTTTAATCCTACTTTAAAAAATTCAAGATGAAGTTATTAAGAAACTATGAGAACTAGTTTAGGGAGAGCTTCTTAAAATTTCGGGGTAACAAGAAACCAGAACATTGTTGCATCTTGAAGCAACCAAAGGGCATGGAAGCTAAAACATGGGCTAGCTCAAGCCATATTGGTTTGATGAGACATTTCACACATTGTACCTTTATGGAGAATACTTCATTTGAAGCTTTTGGTTTCCACATGGCGACTGGAGGTATGCAAAAGAAAGCTTTGAACAATCATACCTGAGAGAGAAAGTAGTCATAGGCTAGCTTATAATTGCAGCCATCCTGATCCTTTGGTATGGTTTTTTCATCAAGCCAAAAGACGTGCCATTTTGACCATTCCACGGAATCCATGTAGGGTGGCTCAACTAGTTTTCTGAAACGTGAACACAGTCAAAGATAGTTACCACGAATGAAGGGCTTAAGATAAACTATGGACATTTTAACTATGTTTTTTTCTTTTCAAAGTCAGTGAAACAAAAAAGATTAAGAAAGGGGGAGGGAGGCTGGGGAGGTTCTCACCGAAGGGACTTGACCAAGGACCCACCAGACAAAACGAGGGAAAAAGATCCTCGCTTCACAGAAAACTTATGAGAGAGATCAGCAGTGTATTTAGCAAGAGAAACCATCAGAGCCTCCTCCGTATCGAAAATCTTCTGCGCCATCGCCGCACCCTCAGTGGAAGCTTTAGGGGGTGCGCCAAAGTGGTGGGGATGGGAGCGAAGCAGGTTGGAGGAGAAAGCGGGAGGTTTTGGGAGAAGCGGAGGTAAAATTGGGCGAGCGGAGTAGAAACTTCGCAGGGAGAGGAGGAGGGAAGGTGAAGAGAATGCCATAGAAGGGCAAGCCGATAAAATGATCTAAGGCGAGTGTACAATGGATCAAAAAAGAAAAAGTATATTTTAATAAATAAGGCTATGGGCTGGAAGTCTCATAAGATCGGGCCGTCTGGACCCGTTTTTCCATCCGTAGGCCTTTTGATGACTTAGATTCAGACCTATTCCTTTCTACGAAGCCCTAATTCGGAAGCATATAAAATGTACTGAGGCGGGTGTCGCACAGGTAGAATTGTAAACCAGAGAGAAACGAACGGTGCGACAAGATGCAGATCTTCGTGAAAACCCTTACTGGGAAGACGATTACGTTGGAAGTTGAGTCCAGCGACACCATCGACAATGTCAAGGCTAAGATCCAGGATAAGGAAGGTTGGATTCTTCCCAAGTTATTTTGTTTCTCAACCAATATTTCTTCCTCTTCTTCTTTTTATCATTTGGAATACACGTGTTTTGGATTTTTATAATTCACGGTGCATGTTTCAGGTATTCCCCCGGACCAGCAGAGACTTATCTTTGCTGGAAAGCAGCTTGAGGATGGGCGAACGCTCGCTGACTACAATATCCAGAAAGGTTGCCACTATCCCTATCATATCATTGTTTCATCTTTCTTATAAAGAGAATTAAATTGGGCTGATAATATTAGAGAACGTAGTTTATTGTTTGTTGACGAGATAATCTCATCTTCTGCGTTAGCTTTATTGGTAAATATGTTTTTGCAACCATCTGAGTATTTCTTTGAAAAGCATGGTTTGATCGCCGATGAGGGTTTAACTTATGTGTTTTATGGGAGTACAATTAGTTTCCCCAAGTGTTTGATAAGGGCAATATTCTAAAAATTGAACATTTCAACTCATTGCTTTATTTTTGTATTATTTGCAGAGTCAACTCTGCACTTGGTGCTCAGGCTCCGTGGTGGTATTATTGAGCCGTCGCTGATGGCATTGGCTAGGAAGTACAATCAGGACAAGATGATCTGCCGCAAGTAAGCTTCAATTTGCTAAATTATTTAAATAAAAATGTCTTCTTTGGTTCTTCTATATGGTACTCTTTGTTGCCTTGTCTTGCAATTGCTTATACGTGGTGTTGAATTTGGTGGGTAATTATATGCGTTCTGTTTCAATTTCTCTAGATTTAAGGTCAATCCCCAACTCTGTTTACATCCTACTTATCAATCCGAAACATTGAATGCCTTTGAGCTGACCATCTAATGTATATGTATATATATTATATGATTATTCCTTACTCGGTTTCTAACTTGATCATGTACAATTAAATTAAAGGTGTTATGCCCGCCTGCACCCTCGTGCTGTCAACTGCAGGAAAAAGAAATGTGGACACAGCAACCAGGTATTGTATTTTTATATTTCCTGCTGTGCAATTTTAATAGATCTATAAACTCGCTGCATGACTAAAAGCCTTTTTTGGTTAATCATTCATTTGCAGTTGAGGCCAAAGAAGAAGATCAAGTAGACTGTTGATGATTTTGAAAAAGGAAACCTATGCAGTAGTTTATGTTTTGATTTATTTTCTGGAGCATTTGTGCTTCGAACTATTAAACTCATTAGGAGTTTGATTGTTATGATTTTTGCTTCTTTTTTTTTTTAAACATTCTCGTGTATTGCCATGTTTGTTCTCGAATTTTGAATTCCAAATCTTGAGCTCGTCGTATTACCTATTTCCACACTTGATTACTATTTCCACACTTGATTACTATTTCCAGCTCATTTTTGGCTTCTTCCCCGCACTTGAATAACTTTAAAGCAAAAGACTTGGACAACAAATACAATAAGAATATTTTACATTAAGTACTCCAAATTTCATAATATTCATTTTGGTAAAGCTATGGGTGATGGGTGGAATCTTATTTCTGATTGGTCGAACGATGACAATCACATTCACTTCTTTGTTATGGATAAAGCAATAGCCTTGATGTTTCATTTGTGCCCCTCCGTCCACTATCTTTACATCATGCATAAAAATAGACATGAATTACCCCAATTGGGTGTCACCTTCAAAAGCTTGCGTACCGAGCTGTCTGCACTATTTATTGGATGCTACTAATGAACATGCTAGTGATGAACTTCCTATAGTGTTCTTATATCTGTTTATTTCGTAATTCAACTACGACTAAGGAATAATGCTTGCCTAATGCATGACTGTTGGAACTAGGATTTTATTTACGTAGTAAACGATTACAAATCAACTAGGTGATGACAGTTTCTCGGATTAGTTCATGGTAATCAACTCTAATTGGTAATCTTCCACCTGGTAGTAATAAGACCAATATTTAGGAGCCAATCTTTAGTATACTTTGGAAACCCCTCAAATTTAGCCATTGCAAATTGCGTTGGGACTTTGTTAAGTTCCTAAGTGGATGTAGTAATAAGAACGAACATTTGGGAGCTAATCTTTAGTTGAGTTTGGATTCCTCTCATCCCCAGAAACTTAGCTCCTGCAAACTGCTACACGGCTGACATTCAAATATGATACCACCACCATCCGAATCAAAGCCGCACCAATTTTCTGATGATTCAAACGAACCATTCGGGTTCAAAAGTTGACATGCTTGCTCCACCGCATGGCTTATGTCGTTGCTTATGCCTTCCGACGAATGGGTCATTTCAAGTCCTCGATCACCTTCTCCATTCTCTGTACCCCTCTTGTCTGTGTTATAATTATTGCTCAAATACGTGACTCCACTCTGTCCTAGTTCATCATGGAAGCTTTGTGGCTTTTCTTTTGTCTCGTAAATGGTTTTTGCAATCTCATTGGAATAATGTCCCTCACGAGGTCCTTCTTGAACAAGCTCGCTTAGCTTCTGCAACTGTTTCAAATGGCAGCATATTGTTTACTCATCAACTGATGAAAATGCTCAGCAATAGAAGGACTTTAGCAAAAGGAAGAAAAACTTTGGTACCTGTGAGAGCAAGGAGTTCTTCTCTTCCTGTAATGTTTTAAACTGAGATGCTAGATTGTCATAATTAGCTCTGAGGCTCCTGAAATTGTTCTCCATCTCCTTGGACTTCCATCTTACCCTTCTATTCTGAAACCATATAGCAATTTGGCGAGGTTGCAGTCCCAACTCAGTTGCAAGCTGCACCTTCTTCCTGGAATCGAGCTTTGAATCCGATGAGTAAAATATGGACTCCAGTGACCTGATTTGTTCATCACTAAACCTTCTTTTGTTCGTGTTGTTGGTTTTCTTCTTCCTCCTCCTCCTAGGAGTTGAACATATCTGTGAAGAGGCTACTGCTGCGGTCTCAAAATTTGGTAGTATGAAATACTCCTGTCTCTCCATAACTTTTGTCCATTCATTCTCCTGAAAACCACACAGGAAAATAGAAGAGAATATATAGGCGGGTAAGGTAAGTAAGAAAAGTGTGAAACGAGTTTCTGCATGGAAGACCAATGGAGTTCGCTAACGTGTGGCTTTTTCCAGTCCATCCCTAGTGGTTATCTGCATCCATTTTCCCTTTTCAGCTTCAAAACTAAGGATACCACAACCCTCTACAGTATTTTCTTCTTCTTCTTGAAACGCTTTTGCTATAAAGGCTTGGTAAGTGTCAAAAAGCACTACACTGCATGCTTATCCCCTAGCTAACTTGGAATGCATTCAACACCTTTTCTTTTACATAGCCACACATATCTGCTCTAGTACAAAAATATCGTAGTCATGGTCTCAATCAGAGCCTCTAATTTTAGTTTTGAAGGATAATATCTGGTTGTGGGCAACAAAAGTTGAGATAAAGTGCGTTAAGAAAATGGTGAATCAAATAAACTTTGTGAAGAGAAGATAAGTTTCGGGGAAGGTAGGGCTTGCCAGAAAGAGCTGGTATTGGCTTTGGCTTTGGCTTTGGCTGTGGCTGTGGCCCTCAGATCGTGTTTACAAAGGGGGCAGTTGGTTGGCAGGAAAAAGCGATTGGCTTTGGCTTTCGGCTGGTGTTTTGTTGGGCTGGAGATGGATGGCAGGACACGAAGCGATGGAATTCAATGTCTTTCCTGTATATTCATACATAGAAGGGCAATGCTTGCACGCCACGGCCCTTGAGTTCATGACGCGGACAATCTCCTTTGAAAAGTTGAAGCTACGAAGTTTGTGAGTGGGAAGCTGGCCTTTGTGAAAAACTCCCGAAAAAGAAAAGGGATAAAGAAAGGTGCTGAAGTTTGGTGGGGAGTTTGGAATCTGGAGGTAAGTTTGTGATTGGTTTAGAAGGGTTTTGATATTACCTAAAATTGAGAAGAAAGATTTTGCGTTATTTCGAAAAGGGGAATGCCAAGGGGAGAAGAAAGGGGGAGGAAATGAGGTGCTGAGAGGGAGATGGTGGGGGGAAGGGTGTGTGTGTGGACTATGAAGCACCTTCTAATAATAATGATAATGTGTTTGTTCCATTTCCATCCTTCTATCTAAAATGGGATTTTATCATAACAACCTGTTTTCCCGCGGGTTCAGAATAGGGAGTGGGGGAGACAGGAGAAAGAGAAGACAAGCAGTTAATTACTGAATTTGAATTTTGAGTTTTGACTTTGAAATTTGCATTTGCATTTGCATTTGCGTTTTGCATTTGCATTTTGCATTTCCAGTTGCCGGATGCCCTCCTCCCCCCTCTTTCACCCCACCTTTATTCCATGCATTTTCTCAGCCTTTCGGTGCTGCTACGTCCACCGTCTCCCCCTCCTCCCCTGCGGCCACCCATACCATTGCCCATTGCAGCCCTCTTCTAATTAGCCATCCTTGTTTTTGTACGTTGCTCGTTGCCGTTTGCTGCCCGCGCGCCCCTGCGTGCGTGCGTGCGTGCGTGCGAGGGGAGAAGTCCCTTCCCCACCTCACCCCAGGGGCGACGGACAAAAATCGATGTTCTTCATTGCTCCTCTCTCTTTCTTGGATCCTGCGACCTTCGATCTCACCACCATCTCCTTCATCGCCCTTATCCTCCTCCTCTCTCTCCTCTCCCTCACCTTCATCTTCCACCTCCATCTCAAGTCCCGCACCTCCCACCATCTCCAGCGTTTCAATTCTCTCTGGACCGTCCGTTTCCTCCTCGTCGCCTTCATTGCATCATGGGCCCTCAACGAGCTCCTCCGCCTCTCCTTCTTCCGCCGCCGCTATCTCTACCCCTTCCTCCCCTCCCTAACCTCCCTCCACCAATCCACCCTCTGCCAACTCCATGCTCTCTTCTCCCTCGGCCTTTTCCAGCCCTGTTTTCTCATTACCCTTCTCTACCTCATCAATGCGTCCGCCAAGAACAGGACCCCTCACGACTACGGAGCTATTGCCTTCCTTCTCCTCGTCTCCATGCCCATTTTCTTCCTCCACCTTTTCATCGTCTTTTACACCCCCTTCAAGGACGAACTGCCCCCCGCCTTCAATCAGAGCTATCTCATTATACAGGACGGTTTTGACAATGCGACCGTCTTGTGCGCCTACCCACTCTTGAGTTCCATTGCCTTCTCTGGCTTCGGGATCGGCTACATGCTCTGTTTCTTGTTCTCTTGCTGGAAAGTCGCCTCCATGGTCATCAACAAGTCGCTCAGGATTCGAGTTTACGCCTTCGCTTTCACCATCATCATTTCCTTGCCCTTGCAGATTATATTTCTTGGCCTCTCGGGCCTCTGGAGGCCAGACGAGCCGGCTTACTCGGTGGTTGCGTTGGTTGTGTTTTTTTGTACGTTTCTATGCGCCGCCGCGGGGGAGGTCATTCTGGTCATTGTACCAATCGCCGATTCCTTGGCCGCCGGCGGGGTCTCTCGGTGGACCGGAGAGCCCTTGAAGATGTTGGGAGACGGTTGATAATTTTGACAAAGAGTAGTAAGGATGACAAGACCTGGTGCCAACATGGGAAGGAGGGCAAATATGGTCTGCCCAGCCTCGGCCCACGGCGGCGGTGCGGCGGTTCAATTCACAGGAGAAACTGGGGAGAAGAATATGATATGTAAAGCTCAGACCAACTTGTTTTCTTCTCAATTGTTCGAAGTCTTTAAATAGAAAGAAAAAAAAAAAAGAAAAGAAGGTAATATCTGATAGTACGGTTTTGTAATTTTCTGGAAATTGTTGAGTGAACTACAACCATTGTTTTTAATTGCATTAGAGATTCTTCTCAATATTCATGTCAACTTATTTATTTCCATGGAAAAGGGTGAGATGAAACAGAATCCTTCAACCTCCTGAGTTTATCTCTAAATTAATATAATCAAATCAAATAAGTAAAAGACAATTAAAATTCATTTTTATTGGGAATCAACCTCCTTTCCTGCATATCTCAATCACAAACGGACGTAAGAATAACGCTACTTTTCTTTTTTTTTCTTTTCTGTGTATTTGTGGTTCCTGTCATTTACGTCAGTCAACCACACTCTTTAAGTTGTTTTTGTTTTTGTTTTTTTATTTCATCATATGACCTAATTTGACCCTGCTGAAGATCATAGGTCACCTTGGCCAATAAATCCAAAAATGGGAAATAATCACCTTGTAGCACACAAGGTTGAGTCGAGGTGAAGTACCAACTGCCTAAAGAGGGGGTCACAACCTAGTGAGCAAATTATAATAGAGTCCAAATCCAAAAAGAGGAAAGACACACCTTACCCCATAAGAAGTCAAGTCGAGTTGCCAACTATCCAAAGAGGGTCATGGCCGACTAGGTTGGTGATAATTGAACCAAGCTCTCAAAAAGCAAGCAGATTGGTTTGTTATTTAAAACTTGTAAAGAAATAAAAGCGTATACGCACATTTCAAATCAGATGTTGACAAACGGGAAAACGAGTATTATGAGGACAAGCTGTGGAGAACAAAAATGCTCCTTCCAAATTATTTCTTTTCAGAGTTTCTCGATCATTTCAAAATTGTAACATCTTTATGAGTGAATGAGAAGTTCATCTGCAGGGGTCCAAACTCAAATATATTTTTCAACTAAAAGGATATATGCAGAAAGGAAAAAGAAGAATAAGGAAATAAGAATGATGAGAATTCAGGAGTAGTGGACCCAAACCTAAGAGTGTCCTCTACATTTGAGATGAAATGTGTGGTATTGAGAGAGAAGGCAAGGAAGTGAAGGAGAAGGAGTCATTACAAGTTTACAAAACAAAATTGGATATCAAAATGGTTTGCTTATCTCACCAAACTCAATAATACAGAGAATGTTAGAAGCTTGCCAAATCGCTCTCCCACAACCCAGAATAATAACTTAACCTTTGCCTCACAACCCCCCTCTCTTCCCTCTTCCCTCTTCCCTCTTCCTCCAAATTTGCCCCACATCTCTTTTTGTCCTTCTTTTCTTCTCCCTGAGTTGGGTTCTCTTTATTCCTTCTTCTTTACCCTTTATTCCTACCTACTCTTCGTTCTCGCGTCTCCCTCAATATACTTCCGTCAAACTCAAATTCCCACTCTGTAATCATCGTCCAAACAGTACAGTTTCTCCCAACCTTAACTAAATCAATTGTTTTGGTTGAGAATAAAACAGAACCATAAACTAAGAAGAGATAAGGGGTGGGACTTGAGGCTTAACTGGTAATGGCTGAAGAAGAAAGCAACCAAATGGCCTCTACAAATTAAGAAAGGGTGTGAGTGAAGGGTTCCGTAGAGCCTTAGATAGCTGCTACAAATAATGCCTCGCCGGCCCACCTTGACCAAACTCTTCATTATCTTAACTTTGACGCAAATACCAACTGTGTACAATCCTTTGACCAAGCATTCATCAAAAAAAAAAAAAAAAAAAAAAAAAAAAAAATCTCAAGATTTTACAACACTTTCGCTTCAAATATTCCAAACGATTCAGCTGTTGCAAGGGAAAACACTGATGGAAACTTTCAACACGGTAGTCTGGCTATCAAGTTCATTTGCGTGGGTTGTTTACCTATATCTATTTGGAACACACAGACATGATTGTACAAAACACCTGTTCAAAGTCGTTCTATATATTATCCATGCGGCAGCAGGCAGCAGCAGAATAATGAACAAAACAAACAGAGAACGGAACATCCAGAGTGCAGATGATGAAAGACTCACGCAACAGAAGAGACTAAAGAGCGGAGAGTTGATTAAGAGTTTCCAGTTAGAAACATTGAAAGCAAGTGCTAAGTGTTCCCAGGGATCAACCCTACATAATCCATCCATCCATCATAACATGTCAGAGATAATCGATTAAGAGCCTCAAAATGCCATCCACTCTATAAAAAACCTAAACAAATATCTCGTTCACCAATAGCACCTTCTAGTTCAAGGTACCAAAAGGTACCAACACTGCAGAGGATCCATGCATCACTAAAGGCAACAACCCCTTCTGAACATATCTCTATAACCATAATATATATATATATATATATATATGCAATATATATAAATATATCTATTGAGCACCAGACCGACATGGAACAGATGCAGGGATCATTCAGTTCAGCTGGGCACGAGGAGAGCGAGGACGAACTGGGGTCTTTGATGGGCTCACCCTGAAAACAAACCCATAAGAATCAGAATGGTTATATTCTTCAGAACAAAAACACATGCATTTTTCAAAATACCCAACAAGAATGAGCTATAATAACCTTATTGGCAGGGAACCCAACACCACTCCACTGCAATTAAGAGCAGCAATTGCACTCTCAGCCTGCAAATTAGTATCAAATCCACACTTTCATGCAAAGCTATGGGTAGGTTACAGCTAACATAACATTCATGTGACTGCATAAACACCACTGTTTTCTAGATATACTTTTAGGGCATAGCTAATCCAGTTTTAATCACAAACGTGAAACACTAGAATCATTCAAATGAAAAGGATCACATATCAAATGATTTCAAAAGACCAAACATGCATTGCAACAATATTTGACAGTGTACTAGACAGAAGTGATAGATAAAATAAGTGAAGCAGGTACTCTAAATGCATTCTGTACACCACCAGACCAAAGATGTATTGGCGAATGGTATACACAAAAACCACAATAGAGTGGTTGTATGGCAAACCACATCCATTATGAAGTCTACATGCATTATATACCACTGTATTGCCACAAAACCAAAGATGAATTGGTGAATGGTAAGAACAAGAAACACAACAGAAATATTTGACCAAACCCACCACACACACACACACACCCAAAAAAAAAAAAAAAAAAAAAAAAAAGAGGAAAGTTATAAACATGGTAGGATGAAAGGTTATAAAAAAACAAAAAGCAAAAATATCAACAGAAGAGAACAGGATTACCATTGTAAACTCAACAAATGCTATACGAGTGGAATGATGATAATCTCCAAGTAGCCTAAGGCGCTGAACCTACATAGGGTTAACAGATGACGTAGATTAAGTCACAACCAGAGAACATAAAAGCACTGTAAGAAGAATCACATTAAAGTCTTAAAAAATACAACATCTGTTATACGAGAAAGTGCAGACCTCTCCACATAATGATTCAAAGAACAGCTTGACCTCTGCTTGAGTAACCTACATAACATGAAAACAACAAATATAGCAATAAAAAATATTGAAGTTCTTTCAACTTCTACTCTTCCAAAAACACAGTTCTCAATTACATTCAGAGATTTTTCACTTCCAAACATACCTTCTTGTCAATATTTGTACAATAGATAGTTCTTGAGCACATCTCACGTTCGTCATCCGACTAAAAACAATAGAACACGAGAAAGCCAATTTCAAGAAAAGAAGTGGAATACATTGTAATGAGTTGATAGCATAGCTAACAAGTTAAAATGTAGTAAATTTTAGATGAATGACATTGATGGCTGATAATTACCCTGGGTAAAAATTCAGGATTGACAGGTGCTATTGCAGTTTTTGAGGGCAGCACTCTGACTGGATAAAAACCAAGCACTGTCCCTGAAAGATTCAAGGAAGCCCTTGCACCCTCTGGTAACATGAAGCAAATCAGATATGATAGCACAAGTAGGAAATGTATCAATGAATAAACTGAACTTGGGATTGTACCTTCATCAGTGAACTCAATGAAGGCAAAATGAAGAATGGAGTTGGGATCACCACAGATACGACAGTCAACAACCTAATGAAGAAGGCAAACATTAAGCTAGCAGTAAAACGCCAAAAATCATATCAAATGGAAAAAGGAGAATAACGAGTCACCTCTCCACAGTTAGCAAAGACAGTAGCAAGTAGCTCTTCAGTCACCTACAATGCATTTCCACCATCCAAAAATGAATAGGTAAAAAGGACATGGCTAGGCACATAAGCAGTAGAGTTTGGGGGATGGAGGGCTCTTACCTGCTGATCAATGTCTGATACATACACCGTCCTCCGGGTCATCTCATCTCGCTTCACTGCATTCATCTTATTATTCGTCTTCCGTCTTCCTTGACTAAAACCATTCTTCTTCTACCGAAAAGAATAGAGAAACAACAGAAAATACAAATCAATATGAGATTCATTCAACATAAACAAAGGAAATAGAATAGAATTCTGTACAATCCCTAGTACTAAAACGAGCAATCAAATAATACAACTCTCGTAGCAAGATCACAGCACTTAGAAATGAAAGTGCGGATTATTCAAGGCTTAACAATAGTCTAAATAAGCTTCCCAGATCTTTAAACAGAACATAATACCCCACATACCCTTCGATTATTATTCCCTTCGTTGTTGAGAGAATTAGCTTGCAATAGAAAGTCGTTCGTATACCCAAGGGCAGCACCGCCGAAGTAACCAGAAAAATTTTTAGCTAGCGAAGGAGGAACAAATTCCTCAGCCATGGGATTCAATTTGGATAGTAAGTCCTCCAGATCCCTCATATCCCTCTTAAAGTTTTCCCCTCCATCGGCTCCGTTTATCACTCCATTAGGCCTCTGATTCATCCCATAACCACCAGCAGACTTCACCATTAGCGACTGGGCATTAGTTTCAAACCCGTTCTGCATCTGACCCATTTGGGACTTGAAATTGGGTGAAGGAAGTGCAAAAGAAGCTGCGGCAGCAGCTCTCTCCTGGAGGTGTGCCTTCTTCTGTGTATTCTGATCGATTCCGTTGGGATGAAAGTCGGGTTCTGCATTAATCGAAACCGCAGAATCGTTCTTAGGCTTCTGATTTTCGACATCCTTGGGATCATTAGAATCGGAGGAAAGCATCGTGTTTTCAAAACTTTGACTTGGAGAGCCGATTTTGGGTCCAACATTCTCAGCAACCGCCATGATGGGAAAGAGGTTTGTGCAACTAGATCGTTCTTTCACAATCTTATTCTGGAAAAAAAAAAAAACAAAAAAAGAAGAAGGGTATGATCGAGATATCCGTCGGGGTAGAAAAAAGCAAGAGAAATCGGGAAAAGAATATTAATAATAAGAATAGGAATAAAAAGAGCGGTCAAAGAAGAGGTAGGGTGTTACCTGATGGGGGGAGAGGGCTTATCTAATACATTTCCATTGGAAAACGGCGAAACCCAGGAGGAGATCGTGGAGTAGAAGAAGTAAGAGAAGAGAAACGAAATTGAAGAGGATCGAAACGAAAACGAAAAACCCTGTGTACGAATTAACAAAAAGGTGGAGAGCGAGAGAAAGAGAGAGAAGCGAAGTGTGAGTTTCCCGTTTGGTAATTAGTGTAGAAATCGAGAAAGAAAGAAAGAGGGAAGGAGGAGTGTGTAGGTTGATTGCTCAGATCGTCGGATTGCGGTGGACTATCTCTTGGGGCCTCCTTTCACAGCATCCCAGAAATGACCGATGAGATGAAATTTTTGGTACGCCCCCTTCCCCTTCCTCTCAACATATTTCAGGGACACCAAACTTTTATTAATTCCCAAAATGCCCATCTGCCTCCCATTACCCATGCATCAAATCAACAATCACCATGCATCATGCATTCCTCTCTTTATTTCTTTTCTTTCCCTATTTTCTTCATAATTATATCTTACTACATTTCATTTTTTCCCATTATAAATGGAAATTGCATTCACCACCCACCACCACTTTTTCTTTTTACCATTGTTTCACTTTTTTCCCCTTAATTTCTAAAAAATATATCCTAATGCTTTCTTTTAATTTTTTTTTTTTTTTTTTATTGTGTCCGATTAACCCATTTGATAAAAAGAGTACATGTGAACTCATAAGATATACATTTTTTTTTTTTTTTGGACGAGGAACTCCACACAATTTTTTCTAAAGTATATGATTAAAGATAAAATATGTTAAAAATAACTCTTTGTTCATTTATGAGAATATTTTTTGATATTTCACGTTGTCCAAGATAACTAAAGTGACATCAAGTTGTTAGAGTGATGCAAGGGAAGGGGAGGATGTTAAATATCTAATCCAAGTTCTAAATCCTAAACTTAGCGGTGTTATAGATGATTTTTTTTTTTAAAATTGTATTTGTTTTCTCAACTTATTTTTCCGAAACATTTGAATTTTTAACCAAAATCTAAATTTCATAACGTAATTTAGCTTAGATTTGATCACATTTCTAAAAATAGATAAGAAACAAAGAAATCAATGAATTTTGGCGAATCACAAATAGGCATTCGAATATGAGGAAAATAAATTTATGAGTATGCTACACAAATAAAATTGGTAAATTAAATAATATCAGTTTTCTACCATAAATCCATTCCACAGAGTATTTTTAAGAGGGTAAAATTGTTGTCTTGTTAAGTTTTAAGATAAATCTTTGAGGTCGAATTTGTTATTAAGATTCCCTAAACTCCTATTCTATTAGAAATATTGGAGGAAAAAAAGTTTAATATTACTTTTTCTAAAATGAGATTTTATTTAAGAGGAAAAATCTTTTGTTTCACCGGTTTGACCATACACATTTTGTTTTGGATAAACATGAATTTAAAAAGTGTTATTTGTTTGACTCAAATTTGATATTTAGTGGTTCCAAAAAAAAAAAAAAAAAAAANCTCAAATTTGATATTTAGTGGTTCCAAAAAAAAAAAAAAAAAAGAATCAAATCAAATCAAATTCATTTTTTGAATATTTTTAGGGAAAAAAAACCAACGAGATATTGCTTTCCATATATAATATTTTCAGGGAATTAGTTTGAAGAGAGGATGGGGTAGCAAATGAATTGATAACTTTATGATTTTATGAAAGTTGAAAAGATTTGAAGAGAAGGGTGTGGCAGTAGGCGGGGTTTCATCAAGGGGATCCCGTCCATCCAAGGCAAGAAGGTTGCGCCGGATTGGACACAAATTTATATTGAAATTTTATATGTTTTTCTAAAAACATGGGAAGACATGAAATTGAAAGCTGGTAGCATGAGAAATAAAATTCAGGATGTGGGGGTTAATAAATCTTGGGGACAACACAATGATGAGTTAGGAGTGCACATGTTTGTTATTGGGATTTGTTTATTACCATTTCCTCTTCACTATTCCCATTCACATTTTAATTCACATATTCTACTCACTTCCTATGTTTCAACAGAAATTATTCAAATTTTCACACTTATCCTATTACAATATATTGCTCAACTAAATACCAAAAGAATACATTAAAGTAGCAAGTAAAAACCCCAATTTTGAATAACTTTTAAAAGGGTAAGACCATATAGTTTAAAAAAATGAATGAAAATGGTATTGTGTATTTGGGAGTGGAGATATAGTAACTAGAGTCCAACAAACTTACTGTGGAAGTCTAAAGCTGTTGATAATGAATATTAGCAGGTAATTTAACCAAAGGTGGTTTACTCGACAAAAAAAAGGGGCAAGGAGTTTTTGCAGAAGAAGAAGTTCCAACAGGAATGCAAAAGGGTTGGGGTGAGTGAGTGTCAGGCACTAGGCATAGGCTTCAGTCGAGTCCAGTGGAGCCAGTCCAGTGTCGCTGGAAATGGTTAGGCAGAAAAAGATAGAGGGTTTGGTTCTCATCTGCAGTTGCCGGTGGTAGACTCATATTTTGTGGACCACTCCCATTATATCACAATTTCCAGTCCTGGAAAAAGATTCCACCTTCCCCCACTTCATTATTATCTCTTCACATTCAATATCAACAATCCCAACCACACACACCACATACCACAAACCACAAACCTCCTGCTCCTCTTTACTTTTCTCTTCTTTTCCAACATAATCTTACATCTTCCCCGTTTTTGTACTCCAAATCGACGTCTTCCTTTTGGGCCCAATACATTTACGTTGCTCCAGTGAAGCCCATGTGAGATGAAGCCGGTTCGATAACCCTAATTCCCCGCTCCATAATGTGTGGCCATACTTCCACCTATGGCGATCACCCTCCTGCACGCATTTCCCTCCAAATACTGTCCTGGTATGTTCTGTTCTGCTCTGCTCCTCCAACTTCTGCGTTTCACAATCTTCCAATTCTCTCTCTCCATCGTTTTCTGCCCCTTCTGACTTCTCATTCTTTAAAATTCCTAGGTCCTCATTGCATACCAGACGCTACTCTAACCATGTCTCGTAGTGAGCTCGCCTGCGCCTACGCCGCCCTAGCTCTTTACGACGATGGGATTGCAATCACTGTACGAATGATTCTCTTTCTGTGTTTTTTTTTTTTTTTTTTTTTTTCCTTTTTTGTATTGGTTGATGCGTGATTAATCTGAGTGTTGGGTCTAGGCGGATAAGATTGCTGCCGTAGTAGCAGCTGCGGGGCTCTGTGTGGAATCATACTGGCCCAGCCTGTTTGCAAAATTGGCAGAGAAGAGGGATATTGGGGACCTTCTTCTGAATGTTGGCTGTGGAGGTGGCGCTGCGGCTCCCGTGTCTGTTGCTGCTTCTGCCGGTGGTGCTTCCGCCTCTGCTGCTGCTCCTGCTGTTGAGGAAAAGAAGGTATGTTGGTGATTTTTTATTTATTTCTGGGCTTTATCATAGTTTAGCGTTGGTTTTGATAGAATTGTTTCATCATGGTGCTCTGCCTCTGCTAGCTCTCATTATCTGTTAACTATCGATATTCATTCAAGGGTCACCTTCATAATTCATATATACCTGCATAACCCACATTTAATATTGTGCAGGAGGAGCCGAAGGAAGAGAGCGATGACGACATGGGTTTCAGTTTATTCGATTAGGAAGCTCTTTTATCCTACTATTCAATTGCATTAGAGAATTTTTGGGTTCATCTTCATTTTTCTCCGCTCAATTGTCTCTACTGTTTTTTTCTTTTCTTTTTTTTACTAGGGTATTTATAGTTGTTTATTTGCCCTTCATGTACGATGGAATTTTTTTTTCATATACTTCACATTGCAGTAAGATTAAACCGTATGAGAGGAAATCTTTGAGGGTTAAACCCTGGATCAGCGTATTCTTTCTTTTTTATTTTAGATTATTTGATAGCAAAGGGAGAGGACGCGTCTTTTCACTTTGGTTTGATTTTGAAATTTTCACTAACTCAATTTTGGTATTCTTATAAAGTTAAGTGGAGCTTGAACAAAGCAAGGAAGCCCAGAAGGGGAAAATGATGGAATCATGTTAATAATATTGCCATATAATTTGTGGAAAATGTAAAAGCCCAATGCCCGACACCGTGGGCTTAAGCGTGGTGCGGGCCTAGTTGCACATTGTGGCGCATCCAGCTATTTTTAAGGTAATCAAATTCAAATTCAAATTCAATTTCAGAACTGTAGAAGAAAAAAAAGTGCGAAATTTGTGATAAATTCAGTAATTTACTCTCTAAACGAAAGAAGAAGCTTCCATAGGCGTGTACGACTCTATCATGGGGAATCCAGAGAACTCGAGAATTGGGCAGCACGACACGTAAATCCACGAAACTCCAACCATAGTTGTTCTTATCCAGTCCACCCTGGAGGCTAAATCCTGACCGTGTGTCCAGAATCAATTGAGTGATTGAACGTTTGATGCAGTGGAGTCAAAGTGAAGGGGTCGTCCAAGTCCAAGCTTCTAGACGTCGCCCTCCCTAGAAGCTTCGACCTCCTCCTTTACTTATAAGAGCTTCTCCTCTTCCCCGGTCCTCCATCGAGTCTTAAACATCGTACACCTTTCTTCTGCCTCTGTTTCTCGTCATTGCTATATTTTATTGTCTGGTTCATAAAGGAGTAAGGATGAGGAAGATCATCTCTTTCTTCGGCTCCGGCAGTGGATCCTATGGACAGCCCACCAAGCTGACGGAGGGCGCCGCTGAGACCGTGAGCTCCAATAAAGATAACCAAATACGCACAATTAAGGAGCAGCCCCGTAGGAAAAGGAGTGCCCAACCCAGGATCGCGCCGGAGTTGGATGGAGTCCACTGCTTTGAGACCATTCTCCCTTCCTGATGCCGATGCCGATGCCTGGAGTGTTTCCCTCTTTTCCATTTTCTTCCTCTGTTACTACCCTTCCCTGGATGCCTGCGTGTCTTCACTGTACATTTCAAACTTCATTCATCAATATATATCACAGCTCTGCTGGACGCGTTGAAAAATGTAATTTTTATAATGTCAAAGCCCCATTAATAAATATGACCATTGTCTTGGCAATCAGAACTTTAGAAGCAATCAGATAAAGCCGCGTGGCATCTTTCTCTCTCTATCTCATCTCTCGCTGTGTCTTCCTCATTCTACTGTGTCCTGGTCTGGCATCCATTATAGTGTACAGATAATTAATTGGTTTTAGTTTTCTCCAGCAATCTGAAACCCTCGGTTGCTTTCCCCTCTCCCCCTTCTTCTACTTTTCACTTATAATTCCCGATGCTTTGTTCGGTACGGGCCGGAAAGGCTGCTCCCAATTGGCTGGACCGCCTGCGTTCCAACAAGGGTTTCCCGATCGCCGACAATCTTGACCTCGATCACTTCCTCACTAACCAAAACCTGGACAATCCCTCCCCCTCTTCGCTTCCTCATTCTAGCCCCCATTCCGCTCTGCCCGACCCCCACTCTGACTCTCATCCCAATTCCCACCGCCGGGACAATTCCTCCTCCTCCAACTCTCCCATTGAAAATGGGAACCCATCCTCATACGGAATCATTACCGGCATCCTCTCTGACCTCTTCCACATGACGGGTGCCTCTCGGAGTTCCAAATGTTCCGGCAAAAAGCTCCCCAGGAAACAGTCGAACCCCAAGATTTGTTCCGTTCCCTCTCTCACTAATGCTGACTATGCGGATGACAAGAATCTGTGTTGCGCCCAGAAAGAGGACAACATCCTCTCATCAAATTCTGATAATAGCTCGAAAGGCGGCGCCAATGCTGGGTCGGATAAAGCTCAGAATGCGCGCAGTATGGTTGAAGAGGAAGAGGTGGAGGATGAGAAGGGAGAGAAGGAACTTCAAGGATACTCGAAGAGCGAGGTTACGGTCATAGATACTAGCAGCGACGTGTGGAAGTCCGACAAACTGATTTTCAGAAGGAAGAATGTATGGAAGGTCAAGGACAAGAAGGGTAAGTTGAGGAGCTATGGGAGGAAGAAGAGGAAGCAGTGTTCTGAAATGAATGGCCTTTCCGATATGACTGCTTCCGCAAGTAAGAAAGCCAAATTCTGGGGATCAGAAGAACGCTTCCATTTCAATGCACCACAAATCCGTGGAAAGGAAGCTCTAAAACAATTGAACAAAGTAAGATGAATTATTTTCATACTTGTTGATTGGAGTTGTGCAGTTTCCATGTACAGACATAGCTAGTCTTTTGTTTTTAATCATGAAATGATGGCTGTTGGTTCTTTTATAGATGTAATCCATTCTGTTTCTATTTTGTGCTTATAGTCAGCTTGTTTATTTAGATTTAAATGTCGAGATGAAGACTTTGAAGTTTCAGTTACTCCTAGTGATTGCTCTTAGGAGTTAAAAGTATTCCATTTTTGTTGTAGAAGTTGCAAGTTATTATTAGTATTCCTTTTTTCATATTGGTAATGTATTGTTGTCATTTTTATTGTGCACGTGGTTCCCATCTATCAATGCTGATTGATATTTTATGTCTTAACCATAGTATGAAGAAGAACTTTGGTATGTAATGTGCCGCTTCCGTTGGGAATGAAGCAATGAGTCCTTAATCGTCATTTTATCATCGCGCAGTAGTTGTGGTCTTAGGTAGTCTTATGATTGTTTTCTATGTATACGACGAGTCTCATGGTGACGTTTAATTAACAGCATAAATTGTGTATGTCTTAACCTTGGAGCTGAATATCTTCTTACTCATCATTGATATCATCTTTTAACTGAGTTGTCTCCATGATGATATGATGTTCCTAAGTCACATATTTTAAATGCTAGCCTAGCTGTCTGAACACATAATGGGAATGAATCTAATTCTATACCCACTGCTTTTGCCAGTTTTGATGAGCAGAACTTCTGGAATACACGCATACACACACACACACTAAGGTCTGGGAATGACCAATTTCTGACATTTATCACAAAGGTGTAAAATGTGTTAACTAGTTGAGGTATGCACATCTTGGATGCTTGAAGAAAACACTTTGTGCTGTGTTTTGCTTTCTGTTAATTCTCTAGTCCTTTTTAAAAATTTTATTAAAAGAGAATTCAATTAAGAAACAAATGGTTTTCCAGTAAACAGCTTGAGCTCCACACACGTATTTCTTTCTTTTATTTTTATTTTTCAAACATGAAAATTATTTGCCTTAGCGTTCTAGATTTTCTATTTCTTGCAGGGATATAATTCCCATCATTGTTCTGGCCCAGAAATTAGTGTTAGTGCACCTGATAGCAGTAATGACAAAAAGGGGAATGTTTACTCCCTCTCCCAGGAAAATGGCAGCTATGATCACTAAAGGAAGTGGTAAGTTTAGTTGGGATTTGGTGTTTTTCAGTCATACAGACTTCGATGTCTCTAGCAGAGCTAACTTATATGGATTTTCTCTTCCAATTTTCCCATTCAGATCCATCCAAGGGCTTAGTTAGAGAAGGATTTTAATGAAGACGCGCAGAACACTGACCATGGTTCTGGAAAGCTGGGACATTCGGTGGATGGATTAGCTGCTTGAGATTCTTCCTACTGCAATTGCATGATTGGACTCTTGTCCGACTCGCGAACTAAACTTGATGATGGTAGATGAAAATTGGGTGTAACTAGTCTATACAAGCCGTGGTATTTGTTTCAAATGATTTCAAGTGTAATTCCATCCTTGTGCTGAATGCGCTCTATTCTTTTTGGATCAGATTTTCCTTTGATTAATGCAATCTATTACAAAGTGGGATGTAAGATCGATTTTTGCTCATGAAGGGTATTGTGACACTTAAGAGATGCTTAAAAATTCATTTTCCAAGACTCTGCTTGTAATTCATTTTGTCTGAGGACTGGATGATGAAGGTATGAATAATGATCTGTCTGAAGTCCGCTGCCCAAAAAGCTGTCTAATTTATGTGTCGTCCATTGACAAAGTACAGCAGCGTTCTCTTCTATCTCCCATTCATATTCATGTTTTGTTGCTTCGGTCTCCCAAACGAGAGCATTGCCCATAAACAGATTATAAAAATGGCGACCAATGGAGAAGAGAATGAATAGAAAAACCAGAGGCCAAAAAGCAAGTGGGGGAAAATGTCATTATTATGAGGGAGAATTGTTAGAAAGTGGGGGTATAGGATATAGACCTGGGTGTGCAAGTGTAATAGGGTGGGTAAAGGGGAATGAGTCTCATTTATTTGACAGTGCAATCGATAACGGAGTTGAACAGAGAAACATCCATTACGATTGATTCCGATGCTTCCTTGAAGGACACAGTCTTTGTGTCAAAACGTTGAGAAAGGAGGAGTACGCAGGCACAGAAGCAGTACTACAGCGGTTTGCCATTCTCCCCACTAAACAAGTGTGGTTGCTATTTTATTTGTTTATTTCACCAATGGGATAAAAAGTGATTTGACTACGCTGAGAGGCAACTGTTCATTCTCCAATCCCTTTTGCTTTGGGATATAAAATGGGTAATGCGGCAACGCCAGGTTTATCTGCAAGCAGCAGCTCTCCAAAATGGGTTCGTTTGCACATGGAAAGAGCAGCAGCACTACTATCTTCTTGGTTTGTATTTCCGTTTTCACAGCTCTCGATCATCTGTGTACATTACACATTCGTGTGGCTGCCAAAAGCAACGTTAGTTTTCGATTCTAATCATCCGATCACTTTTTGTCTCTCTCGTCGGATCTTTTAGCTTAATTGTTCTCTACTCAACAGGTGTACATCGTTTATATGGGCCAAAAACCACATGATAATGAAGAACTGCTGGTAAAGGCCCATCATGGAGTTCTTGCCTCTGTCCTTGGGAGGTAGAACATGAATATAACCTATGAATAATTTATTCACATAGTAAATATCAAGATTATATTTTGGAACATACTCCAGCAGAACTAATCTTTCCCTACTTCCGTAGCCAAGAAGGATCTGTAGATTCCCTGGTATATAGCTACAAATATGGATTTTCTGGTTTTGCAGCAAAGCTTACCATGGCTCAAGCACAAATGATCTCAGGTATTTTCTGTTGCTGATGCATTAAATATTTGTTGTGCATAGTTTTTCATCCGCGACCTACATACAATTGGGTGAGAAACATTCCCTAATCGTAACATAATGGAGAACTGAAACTAGAATTCCTGACAACATATGTTGCTCATCACGCGACTACCTCTTTTGATAGTCATTAGCTTTCTGTTTTTAGATACATACTTGCCCTGCACTCAACTGTTTGGTTGTCTCTTGTTAACGAGACCCTTTACTGACTTTGGAGTTACGGATGAATGACAGAAGGGAGGGAATTGAACTGCATATTGTGAATTGAGTACAACATAACATCCCAGTCGAGAGGCTTTTAGATTCCACTTTTATCATGAAAGTGTTCCATAACAAAGCAATTCTTACGTTTTTTTTTTTTTTTGAATTGTAGAGTTGCCTTCAGTGGTTGAAGTCATACCCAATCGTCTTCACAAGATACAAACAACTAGGAGCTGGGACTACCTTCAACTGTCTCCACGATTTCCAAACTCTCTTCTACGGAAATCAAGAATGGGGAGTGGGGCCATCATTGGTGTCCTTGATACAGGTTAGACTTCTGTTTTTCCTCTGATTCAATCCTTCTTCCTTTTATAGTCTGAGGTCCCGAGCTAACTCTCAGATACCACGGGCAGGAATCTGGCCCGAGTCTGAAGTTTTCTGTGATGAGGGTCTGGGGCCTGTGCCCTCTAGGTGGAAGGGAATATGCGAGTCAGGAGAGCTCTTCAGTCCAGCCAAGGCTTGTAGCAGAAAGCTAATTGGAGCCCGATATTTCGTCAAGGGGCTGGAAGCTGCATATGGACATCCCTTAAATAATAGTGAGTTCCAAGATTACTTGTCTCCAAGAGATAGATCAGGACATGGCACACATGTCTCTTCAGTCGCTAGTGGCTTCTTTGTGCCCAATGTTAGTTACCATGGGCTAGCTGTTGGAACGGTAAGGGGTGGCGCGCCCCACTCTCGGATTGCTATGTATAAAGTCTGTTGGCAAGTGAATGGAGGCGTATGCGCAGACATAGACATTCTCAAGGCCATCGATCAAGCGATATATGATGGTGTAGATGTACTATCTCTGTCCCTCGGTCCTTCCTTTCCTTCGTACTCTGATGTTGACATGCGCAATGGGATTGCAATTGGCGCATTTCATGCTGTGGCGAAGGGAATAGTTGTTGTTGGTGCAGCAGGAAATTCTGGTCCAGCAGCTTACTCTGTCTCTAATATAGAACCATGGTTATTGACAGTCGCAGCAAGTTCTGTCGATCGTTCATTCTTAGTAGCGATTACATTAGGAAACAACTGGACTACCATGGTAATTCTTATCAAACCTCATCATGATAACAGCAATTAGTTCTGGTTAGCTATTTTTATTGACCATCAATGTTGTAGGGACAAGGGATGTTCAGCGGAAAATTGACGAAGTTCATCAATTTAGTGTATCCTGAGGTCTCTGATCTGGATGACGAACGGTTAGTGTATCATATCCTGGTATCTTATGCTTCATCATTACTTTCTACTAAATTGTTGTTAACGAGATGGTGAGACCATAACAGTGCTTGCGAATCTCTATCCTTGAATGATACATGGGCATCTGGAAATGTGGTTCTGTGTTTTGCATCAGATGATTATAATGACAACACACACAATACTTCCTGGTCCGTCAAAAAAGTTGGTGGGTTGGGGCTCATTGTTGCCAAGAATCCTACCAAGGCGGTCGAACCGTTCATAGACAACTTCCCATGCGTTCAAATAAGCCTTGATATTGGAATGCAGATACTCAACTATATCCGCTCCACCAGGTAATTCGTCTTTCACCATTTCCTGATTGCTGATGCTGCCTACAATCTCACTGTTATTTGCTACTTACCCCATAGAAATCCCCAAGTCAAGATTGGTGCTTCAACCACACGTGTTGGTCAGCCATTGTCCACCACTGTGGCCTACTTCTCATCTCGAGGACCTAATTCAGTTGCTCCAGCAATACTGAAGGTAACAATTCCATTTCAGTCTCCTGGTATTAGAAAGACAATTTGCTGAATGAGCCTGCAATTAGTACAGCCAGATATTGCGGCTCCAGGCGTTGCTATTTTAGCTGCTGTTCCTCCGTCTGACCCAAAGAACAGAAATTCTTATGCTTTCATTTCTGGTACATCCATGGCAACTCCTCATGTATCAGCCATTGTTGCCCTTCTCAAAACATTGCACTCTCATTGGTCCCCTGCCGCAATCAAGTCAGCCATTGTTACAACAGGTAACTGAACTTCACCATTTGGCGCCTCTACTTTAAAATGTTTTGACGTATTTAACATATCACGCCTTCAACTGACGTTATAAACTATAATATGCAGCCTGGAGTTCGGATCCATATGGCGCAGTAATATTCGCGGAGGGACGGCCAATGATGTCTGCCCGTCCTTTCGATTTTGGAGGTGGAATAGTGAACCCCAATAAAGCAGTGGACCCTGGTCTTGTATACGACATGGGAATGGCAGATTATATTCAGTATTTCTGTGCGAAGGGCTATAACAACTCCGCCATCTCGGGGATTTCCAAGAGGTCCATATCTTGCCCCAAAAGACGACCATCTATTTTGGATATAAACGTGCCATCCATAACAATACCCAGCCTTACTCACTCGGTAAGTCTCACCAGAACTGTCACAAATGTGGGTGCGATCAATTCCTCATACAAGGCTGCCATTGAGGTCCCGCCCGGCATCACCATAGCCGTAAAGCCTCGTATACTAAAATTCAACCACAAGACGAAGAGCATCTCCTTCACCGTTACTATCTCTTCTAATCAAAGAGTAACAACCGGATACTGTTTTGGAAGCTTGACTTGGCTGGATGGAGTTCATTCCGTTAGGATCCCAGTTTCTGTAAGAACTAACATTTGACGTAAACTTGATAATCAGTAATCGGTGGCCAGTCAAATGGACGTGTTTGTACGACCAATATCATGTAGTATATGAATAAAGTATAAATGTGGTGACTGAGACAGACTTTTAAGAAAGGAAGAGAGATGTATCAAGATTCAAGTACAAACATTACAACCTAACCAGAACTGGCCATGCTAAATCTTTCATTTATTATAATATTGTGCATCTCATTGTACCCAACACTTGAATAGATCTCATTTCTTATCCAAAATTGTCTTCATCATCAAGTAACCTCAAATTCAAATGTACATAATCCCTGCAAGCAAGGCCTTCAGATGCATGTTCCAGTCAAAGTTAGGCAGTTTTAAGCAAATGTAATCTTGAACATGAAACTTCCTCCGTGAAGTCCAATCATTCCGCCAAGGAGGCTTCTCTGGCTACTTCAACTGTCACAGTTTCTATTTTCTCAGCATTGCCATTTTCTTTTGGGATGATTAGTCCATATCCTCCATCCTTTCTTTTATATAAGATGTTAATCTCACCTGGGCCAAAGATGAAACAAGCCACGATATAAACAGCACAGAATCCCAACAAAGCAAGTTTTTTTTTAATAATCAAATCAACGCACCAGTTTCTTCATTCCGGAAACCATAGAAATCATGGTCAATATTCTTTAGTTGTTCGATTGCTTCTTCAACTGTTAAAGGCGGCATATCGAAGTATTTTGTCCGAACAATCTGAAATCAAGATAAACATGAAAAAGGAAAAACAACATTTTAACCATTTCGATATATTATTCACAAGCTTCCAATATATGATGCATGATTTAGTCATCTAAAAATGATAGATGCAACTGCTTCTTCCAGCCAGACTTGAATGTCAACAAAATAGGCAAATGAATCAAAAGCCATAACGATCAAGTACGTTGGAAGGGGCCATAAAACACTCATAAAGAGCAAAGGATCTATACAAGCTTTGAAGGATGTCTCAATTGTTGTGATGAACCAACTTGGTAACTAGCAGGTTAAAGGGATAAAGTTGAAAGGAAATTCCAATGTAACAGTCCCTTGTAGACAATGAAGGACTGTCCGAAAGTTAGAAGCTAATCAACAACAGTTAAGCATAATGTTAGCTCCACAAGAAATAACAAATAGTAGGCTTCTACATTATGATGTCCCACGTTGGTTGGGGAGGAGAACAAACTTTCTCCTAGCAGACGCGTTGTAAAGCTTAGGGAAGCCCGAAAGGGAAAGCCAAAAGGACAATATTTGCTAGCAGTAGATCTGGTATGAGGCCTTTTGGAGAAGCCCAAAGCAAAGCCACGAGAGTTCATGCTCAAAGTGGACAATATCATACCATTGTAGAGAGTCGTGTTTGTTTAACATGGTATCAAAGTCATGCCCTAAACTTAACCATGTCAATAAAATCCTCAAATATCGAACGAATTGTGAGCCTCAAAGGTGTAGTCAAAAGTTACTAAAGTGTCGAACAAAAGGTGTATTTTGTTCGAGAGGAGGATTGTTGAGGTTATTGGGAGTGAATCCCACATTGGTTAATCTAATGGAAGATCATGGGTTCATAATATCTCCACTGGTATGAGGCTTTTTGGGGAAACCCAAAGCAAAGTCACGAGAGCTTATGCTCAAAGTGCACGAGAGCTTATGCTCAAAGTGCACGAGAGCTTATGCTCAAAGTGCACGAGAGCTTATGCTCAAAGTGGACAATATCATACAATTGTGGAGAGTCGTGTTTGTTTAACACAACTAAGGAAGCCCTCTATCTTACAGCTACAAGATCCAATTTCCTATGTTTTCATGTTCATGTAAATGTAAGTCCACCCAGATATTGTCCTCTTTGGGTTTTCCCTTTCAGGTGTTCCTCTGTGGGCTTTTGAGGAGCGGGAGAAATTATTGGAATTTTATGAAAGAGTCTCGGGAGCCAGGATGCATGCCAGTTTCATACGACCAGGTGGAGTGGCACAAGATCTGCCTCTTGGCTTATGTCGAGATATTGATTCCTTCACACAACAATTTGCTGCTAGAGAGAGGTTTCCACAACTTTATAAAGAATGTTTCGTTGTTCTTCCCAATCGATGTGAGATCACACCGTTAATATAACTACGAGGAGCTTGGGAGAATTTAGTTGAAAAAAGAACAGCAGAAGGGGAATCAAGATTGAGAATGCATTGCTTACTCCGCACATGGTTCAACTAATGCTGAGCAATCGATGATTGTTTTTCCACTAGATAGGAAAAAGAAAATCAACTACGAAATCGATGATTGTTTTTCCTTATAAGAAACTAAACAACAATTTCTAACTAAGCAATAACAGCTGTGGTTTAGTAACTCTGGCACTCATATTAGCTTCAACACGTGGAAAATAGTAAATATGGAATCCATGAGTTTGTACAAGCTAATATCACCTTAAATGATTAATATATGCAGCAAAATGAACTCAAGGTAAAAAAAAAAAAAAAAAAAAAAAAAAAACAAAGGTTGAAGGAATAACCTCATCAATAGCTTCTCCACCATCTTCCTGAGAAACTTCCTCTTCCTCATCTTCAACTACTATTGGCGCAGGTTCTCTTATTTTGGATCTGTCAAATCCTTTCATGTGCCGGCCATGATCTGAATCTTTCTCTTTAATCTTTCTCAGCTTTCTCTGCATGATGGAAGATACCAAATCAATGCTTGCATACACGGTCTCGGCATCTTCCTCTGCTCGTACAACTCCATGCTTCTTCGTGAATAAAGTAACCTACACAAACACAAATGTTTTTAGAAAAGAAAGAGAATTCAATTCATATGGAGAAATTTAAAATAAAGGAACAATACAATACCTCGCATCTTCTAATTCTTGGGCCCTTCCCAAACTCTCCACCTCTAACTGATAGTCTGACATCCACTTCTCTCACTAAGTGACTGTGCTTCTGGACTGCCTTGCCAACCTTCTCTTCCACGTGCTTCTTAACTGCCTCAGTCAACTAGTATTTTGCGCAGTAAAAAAATAAATCCACTCAAGGTCCGACATTTGAAACATTGAGATATGATAAATTGGGTAATTGAAATTCCGATAGCTAGTTGATGGTCTTGTCATTCTCATTGGAGTTTCTACCAACAAGGTAATTTTTTTACACGTGTTAGCAGTGCTGTAAAGGGCTGAATAACAATTTGTCGATCAGAGTAGTGCTATTGTAGCACCGGAAATTTTAAGAAAACAAATAAAAAAAAATTCAAAAAAGAGAAAAAAAGCAGAATGGCACAAACGCAAGTTGGAGAAGATGACCTACAGTCAATGGTTAGTTTCTAAACCTTCTCTTCAATGAATTTGAAGCTAGCCCTTTTGATTTTCTCTTCAATGAATTTGAAGCTAGCCCTTTTGATTTTCTCTTCAATGAATTTGAAGCTAGCCCTTTTGATTTGACTCTACAGATATTATCTTCAAACTACTTTCATATCGATTTAGAATGCAAATTTTAAATTCTTTGTGTCCCTATTTTAGGAAAGAAAGTGCAAGGTATTTCCATCTTGGAAGAGTCTAATAATGGCGGTGAATAAGTTCATGCTCAAAGTTATACCTTAACCTATAGTATCTACTGGTGAAGATATTGTGCAGCTTTAGCATTGAAGACATGGATAGCTGAGTTGAAGGGCTTAATGAAACTTCAACATATCTAGAGCTTAGCTTAAGTCTCTTCCAAATTTACGCAATGTTTACTTCGTAATCGACAAAGGAAATCAATGGCGTGAAAGGAGCTAGAGAGTTTCACATTATGCTTCAAAGAGTACACTCTAATGTGTGGACTTTTCAAACTTGTTTTGATCAGTAGGAAAGGCCATATGCCCCTATGTACTGATTGAAAAGAGTTTCGCATGCGCTCACCAATTTTTGAGTTCAAATAGCATTCAACAACTGACGGTTGCATAAACACATAACTAAATGTAGTTGTATACAAGAATGATATGACCACCAATTTGGAGATTCGCATGCTTTAAAAACATAATCTTAATGACTACTACTATGCTTAAAGAACGCCCAAATTTCTTCTGGCCAGAACCAGCAAATTAGGCTGTTCACAGTGGTGCTGTTCTTAATAGATAGAGAAGAATTGGGAAGTGAACAGTTATATTCAATCACTTGTCACTATAAATACAAATTCCAAATGCTAAAAATAGCCTAGTTAACTCCATAAAATCAGCAACAAACTACACTTACCCAACTCTAGCCGGTATCTCCAAGTATAGCAACTTAAGCTAACTGACTAAATTATCATTAACAACTTTCCTAGAAACCAGTACTAATTCAAAGAAATAGACTTGCAGGTTGAATTAACAAACGAGCGGAAAAGGCTAACATTGGGCGAGAGAAAGCAGTACGCCCAGTGCAAATGGCTTGATTTTTTCATGATATACCAATCAGAATGGAGGGATGACACGTACATGATTGATATAATTACTACGTAGTGGGGTGGGTATGGCATTGTCCACGGAGAACCACCCCGAAAGCCAAGTCACTATGGGATCTGGTGGGTATGGCTTTGGATCTCGTGGGTATGGCATTAGCTAAGCTTTACCAACATTGGAAGTTTACTAATCAATGAACCAGTGTAACCTACTTTCTTTTCTGACAAAATCAACCAAGCTTAACCAGTTCTTTCACCTTGACAAAATCAACCAAGCTTAAGCTTAACCAGTTCTTCACCTTAACAAAATCAACCAAGCTTAAGCTTAACCAGTTCTTCACCTT